GAGGCATGAAGCGAGCTTGTCAAACAAGTTTCCCTTCTCCGGCGCTTCACACCGGACGGCTTTGTGGATCCTCATTTCTACCCGCGCGGCAAACCGAATCTCGGCTCGCGTCCTTTTGCCATTTTTTCTCTTCCGCTGCTTCCTTATTCCATTTTCACTTTGGCAAGAGTAGGGAAGGCAGCGCGCGAGAAGTGCAATTCGGCGCCGCTGCTTATTGCGAGAGGTGAATGCGATTTCACCGTTGCGTTCGCAGCTCGTTAGAGCGAAAGTCCTTCGACATCGGCCGCTCCCGCGACAACCCTTTCAGCATGCTTGATGATGACGTGTGACTGCAAAGTTGATTGCCCGACTGCTCGACGTGTAAATTGTGCATTAGCATCCGCCGATCTCTGCGCTCTTCCTCTCCTTGATTCGTCAAAAGAGCCTCTCAGGCGTGCACGGGCGCAGTCCAACGTCTCATTCTCGAATCCTGCCGATTTCGCGCAAAGTATTCCAGAAGTGTTCGTCCTTGCGCTTCCATCTTGGACTCATCCGGCTGATTTACGCGACTTTGTGTCCCCGAAATATTATTAACTGCAGCGCGAGCCGCGCGGTCTTTGAAGTTCCAAAAGTTTTCGCGATCCGAGCGTCTCTCTCTCTCTCTCTCTCTCTCTCTCTCTCTCTCTCTCTCTCTCTCTCTCTCTCTCTCTCTTTCCGAGAAGTTCCGTCTCGACCCTTTCGCGAGCCGGGAAACCCGGCCTCGTTTAAACTATTGAGGGATCACTTACCGTAGGCCTCGGAGGCTCCCATTATTCACTGCGATCCGATTACGCGAAGCGATCAGGCGAGTTCCTCCCGCGGCACATTCTGGATTTTCTCGTTAAGAACATCGACCGAGCTACGCTTTCCGGTTAACCGCCCTCTTCAGACCTGTCTTCAACGTCGCCGCGTCGCGTCGCGTCGCGTCGCGTCGCATCGCGTCGCGCCGAGCAAATTGAATTTCGTTCTCAGTCATTTCCGCAGTTGAGACCGGGCTCGACTGAGCGGCTGTCCACTCTTCGGTTGACAAAGAGCACGGCCGCCTGGTCCGGCGGCGGCGAGACACGCCGCCATTCACGGTGAGTCGTTTTCTTTCATGCACTTAGACACCACTGACGTCTACGTCCTGTCCTCGGGATACCCAACGGGGCGATTCATCTTCCGCGGCGAGGGGATAAAGCGCGCCGAAAGCACCTGGAATGGATTGGAGCTGCGGAAGATCGGGCTTCTTAAGATCCCCGGATTCCTTTAAATTGCCGAGTCGGTGGCGGTCGAGTCATCGAGTCTCGGCGCTTCCGGACGCCTCGCTCGCCATGACCGAAATCATCCTCCCGGATTCTCTTCGGGGTACCCTCGTGCGTTCTAATCGGAAAATCGCGCGATGTTCCTTCGTATGTTCCGAGCCGAGCGAGCGTCGGAGCAACGGCTACTACTTTGCCATAAACGGCGTACTATAGTATATGCGACATGCGTCACGGCGACGTGATACCTAAAAGTCTCCATCCGGCTGAATTCTCCCACGGATCCCGGGATAAAAATTTTATACGTCCGCGAAAGAACTCGCGGACCCTCGGCCGTTAACGAAATCAGTAGCGCCGGCGGGAAACTTTCCCGCCGAGCTCTATATGCACGCTGAAAAAGTTGCGAATGCTCCTGCGTGTGAGGCGGGATCCTGCGATATGCCCCGTCAAATTTCTACTACCACGCCGGCGGATCACAATAGAAGCCGCGGAAAAAGAGCCAGCGGAGCGCGGGTGTATCATTTAGCCCGCGCTCCGTTTGCTCTGCTTCGACCCGCTCAATTACGCGCCGAGCGCGCGGCGCTTTTGCGCGTAATGAGCGCGAGTGCTAAATCCGCTAAGAGCGGGGCGTCCTGTGTCTCACCCTGACCTGGCCGGGTGAGTTACAGGCTCTCTCGACGCACCAACGTACGATGTCGGACGCGGGGGAGATCCTCCGTGCGCGGCAGGTAGCTACGGCCCTGGGGACATGTAGTCCCTTCGGACGGAGTTCGCGTTCCCTCTGTTTCTTTTTCCCCCTCTTTCCTCTCCCCGTTTCTTTTTTCGCAACAATTTGAATCCTGACGGATGCGGCTAGCGATTGCTTCTGGCAAATTGCATGATCGGAATGCGCTCTCCCGCTGTAATTCACGTCGCGATATAGCGTATTTATTATCGGAGAAAATGTCATCGCTGCGTGGTTGTAAACAGCTGGTCGTGATGCCGGAAATATCATAGGACTAAATGGCAGTTTAAAGCGACGGGTTTTAGCACCTCGTTGGGCTATTAAATTATTGAGCTCGAAACCGCCGTGCAAACGGCTCGAGCTCCGCGTCGGTGAATTTTGGCGGATTCACGCCTCGTTTTTCGGATACTTGCACGCGTTCCTTAAGATAAATCATGTGGAGCTATTGAACCCCTGGCACGTGACTTATATCGTCGAACCTTCAAACACTCGAATTACACAGCCGAGGATAATTTCAGGAGACTTTGAACAATCGAGAGACGCCAGAGATTCGACCCTGAGCGTCCCTGAGTCACGAAGAAGCCACAGCATAATTTAGTCGTCCCCGCGTATCTACTTTACGCTTTATATAAAAGTTCGCGAGACTCCTCAAAATTCCTTACCCCCCGTCGCTCGATACTCGGGATGTTTTAAGACTCGCCTCCTCGCGCGCGCACTACTTTCCGATCCCTCGCGTTCTTTTATCGTCCCGACGCACCCTTAAATTTTCACACCCCGCCTGCAGCGTCAACCCGCGGATATCGAGCCGCGTGCAACGCATCGGACCGCAACATTACAGACGTCCGAAACAACATCAACGGCTGTAAACAACATTGTCTGCTGCAGACGCAACCGAATTTCCATACGTCAAAAAAGTTGCCCGGCATTCGGACGTTGGCTCGACCCGCTCGACCGCGCGATGCAGCGTCTCCCAATCTTCGGTGCGATAATCACCGCCACTCTTCACGAGTCTGTGAGAACCATCGCGCGCGACCGCTCGTTCCTAGCTCGTCGCGAGAAAGCTGCGAACGCGCGCGCGCGAGAGAATGTCTCACAAATCCGGCGCGGTCCAGCCGAATAATCGGAAATATCGAGAAATTCTTATCTCTCTCTCTCTCTCTCTCTCTCTCTTTCTCTCTCTCTCTCTCTCTCTCTCTCTCTCTCTCTCGGTGAGAGAAGGACGACGACGACGATGATCCGTAAAGTAAGCGAGCGGGGGATTTCCAACGCGCGCGGTGGCACGAAACTTCTCGCAACGTGTAAATCTCCGCGGCCTCTTTCCGCTCGGATAAACCAAGCCGCTATTCACGCGTAAGATTAATTAGCCCGCGGGATCTCGAGCGCCAGAAGATGGTGTGGAATAGCCGGCGCAATTGAGCGCAATTGAGCAACCCAATTAGCGGTCTCGGCGCAAGGCTCTCTCGAGCTCTCGAGCTCTTGCGGACGACGCGAGTTTATTCGGAGCGTTTGGGTTCGCGCGTCCTTCGAGAGGAGGACATCGATCTGCGAGAGGCGGCCGCCTCGTAAGGAGCGACACGCTCCTCGACAGGTCCCTAGACGACCCTGAAGTCACTGCACAAGGGTCCTTCCGTTGGCAGAACTGAATCGATAGTCGACTGTCCTTTTCTTCGCGCGTCCCCACGAGTCTGCGCGGCGCGCTTCGACGTGCTCTTTCCAGACGTTCCAGCCGGCGAGCACACGGCAGCTTACGCTCGGCGACACCTCGATTTGCCGATATCATAGAACCCCGATGCTATTCCCGCCGTAACATCAGCGACATTTCGCCGCGGATAAACAAATGCGCGCCCTGCGCCCCGAACTCTGCTCCCCTATCGATCGGCCGCGCGAGCTGCGATTTTACGAGCGCAGATTCAGAGCGGCGTTTCACTCGCAGGCCGCGGTAGTCGCGCAGCAGTACCGGTCCGTCCGCGCGTACAAAACTCACGGCTGCCATCGCAGGCTGTTCGAGCTCCGCGGAGCTGCGCGGGATTACTGATCATTTAGCGGAAATTAATCTTAAAGCCCGACAGAGAGACGCGCGGCAGCACCGCGTCAATCGCCGGAAACCCCTCCGACTGATCCGTAATCCAGACACAAAGCGAACGAACTATTAAGCTCGCCTGACAGGTGTAGCTAGCCGTGCCAGCTCGCGTAGCGTTCGCAGGTTCGCGAGCGAAGTTCGCCCGGCTGACGGCAGCGGCGGCGGCGGCGGCGGCGGCGGCGGCTGCGGCCTTCGCGCAGCATCCAACCCCAAAGTGTAATCCGTGGAATCGACCGTGGCGCGCTCGACGGACTCGATAGTGGAGGCTCTGGCGTCGCGTTGCGCGAGAGCTTGCGGAGCTTTCCATTCCGGTGCCGTAGTCCGTCTCGCGAGCTTCGCGGCGACGTTGGATACGTCGCGTCGTGCGCCAGCTATCGCGCCACCCTCCGTCGTCCTAGGGTGGCATCCCCGCGCTCTGCGTCCTTGTCCTCGCGCGAGGCTGCTTGCCTGTCTTCTCCGGCTCGGAATAATCCCAGCGTCGCGTCGCGTCGCGTCTCGGCGCCGCGCCGCGCCGCGCCGCGCGTTCAGCCAGCGTTGCGGAATGCACGCGCGCGGACATCTCATCGCCGGTCCTGCGTGGCTTTGACGCGCTCCTTCCTCTAGCCTTGGAGCCGCTGCCGACAGACGCTCGCGCACCGGAAGACACCGATCGCGCGATTTAAATGTCCGACGGCCGACGGGGATGTGATGTGCTTGGTGTCGCACGGCGAGGACGACGTCGGCGAGCCGCGCTGAGGAAGCGGCCGATTAGAATGCCCGCGGTATGATCGCGGATTCTGCTCCGTTCCGCCGTCGCTGCTCGTGCCGAGGAAGCGAGAGAGATAAATTCACGGGTGTCGAGATGTGTAAGAATTAATCGAGGGAGCGAATCTTCGTCGAGAGAGAGAGAGAGAGAGGGAGAGGGAGAGGGGGAGAGAGAGAGAGAGAGAGAGAGAGAGAGGGAGAGAGAGAGAGAGAGAGAGAGAGAGAGAGAGAGAGAGGATCGTTTGCGAAAACACCGGAAACTGGCCGGAAAGGCCGAGCGATAAGGGCGGGGGGAGAAAAAAGGGAAGAGAGATTTAAACAGCGTGTGTTTTCGCCGACGCAGCCGTTTCCATTTGTGTGATTAACGAGGGAACGCGCCGAATCAACGTGTCAGTGATATCGGATTGTTGGGGAAAATTTTTTCCCCCGGCCGCGGGAGCAACGTGGAACGAATTAATCGGCTGGAGGAGAGAGCCGCTGCAGGTGGGAGAGGGAATGTAGCAATAAAAGAAGATCCTAAAACGCCGTAAAACGACGTGCAGTGCGCAGCAGCAGTTTCGCGGATTAATCAGATATTCGCGTGTTAATCTCGCCGGACTCTCTCGGCCGCCCCGCCGCGCCGCGCCGCGCCGCGCCGCGCCGAGGTCTCGCTTCATGAGACAGCACCTGGGATTGGCGTTTCGCGATTGTGTGTGCGTTTTGCAGTGATCGTCGGAGAGAAATGTGCTGCGAGTTCAGTGCGTGAAGTTCCGTCTCTCAGTTTTCATCCCTCCGCCCCGTTCAATGGAGTTGCTTGCTGTTCGCCGTTCGCAAATGGTGAGCCTCTAATCATGACAGCCGTTAAGCGCGAGTCTCGCCTCGCGAACGCCCCGCGAGACGCGGCAGCGATGTGTTTCGTAACTGTTCCCTCTCGGAATTAGCCGTACCCCCCGCGGACGCAGGCACGCGATTGCTCAAGTTTTCAGCTCAAGCGTTCAGTTGCTCGCCGTAACTTGCCGAGTGCCTGCGTCCGCCTTCTTATCGCGATCAATACTATCGATTGCCGGACTCGGACATCGCGATACCACGAGAAACGTAACGCGATTTAGACGACCTGCTACACTTGGCGGATGAGTAAGAGAGGACCCCTCGCTCTGATTTTGCTACTTGAAGCTCACCCCCAGACTCGAGGCAGATATCTTTGTGCGTTTTCTCGAGTGTACTTCCTGTAACGCGACAGTTGTTCATTTTCAAACTCGCTTCCGCACAGTATGAGCAACGTCGGCGCGGATATTCGCCGATGACAAGCTCGACCCTTTGCAAAATGCATCCGCGAAACAACCTCGGCGAAGACGAGCGACGTCTCAGGCGACGTCTCGGACTCGCTGAATCGCGTTACACGGTTCTAGCCAGTCGCGCGTTGCCCCGAAATTTCGCCCGAAACGACCAGGAATGTCTGTCCGCGGCGCAATTATCGGCGACGTTTAACGAGCCGAAACGGACGGAACGCGATTTCGGTGCAGCCGCGTCGAGAATCGAGAGGCGCGCGGGGGTTAATCGAGACCCCATCGTTCCGATCTTCCGCATCGCGCGGAAACATGGCGGGCATCCTCGCTCTACGGTGAAATTCCTGTTTTTCCAACGGCAGCCAGCCGCCGCGGGGGTTTCCGCGTTTAAATATTCCCCAAGTATGCAAATGCTGTAAATTCGCTGGAAAATATACCGGCAGCCGGAGAGAGAGAGAGAGAGAGAGAGAGAGAGAGAGAGAGAGAGAGAGAGAGAGAGAGAGAGAGAGAGAGAGAGAGAGAGAGAGAGAGAGAGCCGTAGAGAGCCGGAGCTATCGAATCGTTATAGATATATCGCGAAGCGCTGCACACGTGCACGCGAAAATGTATTAACCCCGGTGGCTCGCCGATAATTTGCATAAATGGTCGACGGAATTTACGCGCGACCGCCATGTCGCGCGATCCTTGCGCACTCGCGTTTGCGCTCGCGCTGGCTCTCGCGCGGCAACTTCAAAGCAGATTACAAGTTACCTGCCGATTTACGTGCTCATTATGCCTTTGTAAGATCCCGCGGTTAGCTGCATGCTGGGCTGCGCCGCGCCGCGCCCAGCGAGAAGTTTCAGACACTTCTGGAATAAACTTCGACGCGATATATCTTTGGCTTTGGCGGTTGCGCGAGGCACGTAACGTTGCTCAGCCTCGGCGAGTGCGTGGCCCCGCGTGAGCGCGATCCCTCTCTCTCTCTCTCCTTCCCTCTTTCTCTCTCACGCTCTCGCTCTCGTTCTCTCGCTTTGCCCCGAGCAGCTGAACGTAATTATATGTCCGCGCGTATGCAATTACATCCCCGGAGATGTTTGCAAGTGCACTTTGGACTGTAAGCAGAAATGACGGTGACGATAATGACGTTGAGGAAACGCGTGGATATTGCGCGACGATATAGCGACGGCAATGTGCGATAATAACAAACATGTGCGTGAGTCTCTGTCGGTCTCTCGACGGCAAAGAGACATCGTTCTCCCTTCGTTCTCGCGTCGTAAGGCTGAGTTGGCACAAGCCCGGCGCCCGGTAGAGTGCGAGCGAGTTCTGCGCGAGTTCTGCGCGCGTTCCACGGCGAACGTTTTCACGGTTCCGTAAGTAAGACAATACAGCGGGCGGGCGGCTCCGCCGAGTCGAACGCGCCTCCTAAGGGGACCACGCATTCCAATTTTCTATTCTATATTTCTTCCGAAAACACGTCCCGTGTATTTGTAGCGTATTGGAAAAATAATCTCGCCGCCGTCGCCGGGCCGGCATCGGCACGAAGAGAGAATGCAAATGCGTTTTATTGATAAATGCAGGCCGGCTAACAGACACGCACACACATACATACATACACACACACACACACGTACACACGCGCGCGCACGCTCACGCGACTCCGATTGAATGAAATTTGTTCTGCTTGCGTACATAAGACGCCTGATTTATCTTGCCCGACGCAGCGCGGGCGCAGCGCGGATTACGTGCCGTGCATATGTACATTCGGCGTTTCCTCCTTGAGAAATATGCGGCGAGATTCGACAGCGGCCTTAATTCCCCGGGAATAACCGCCGTAAATCAGGCCGCGGCACCTGCCTGTATGTACATATATTATATTTCATTAATATCTCGCGCCCCGATGCCCCGAACGATACACCCCCCCGAGACGGACAGAGCGTGTTGGCGGCGCGACGAGGCGCGATCGATACAGACGCAACATTCCAAACACACGCGAGGTTTGGGCCGTCCCGACCGACGTGCGCGCCGATCTCTCAGCGAGGGTCCTTGCAGTTCCGATTCGCACGCTCTCGATATCTCGCGCGTATCGACTCACCCTCTTTGCCTCCCCCCTCTCCCCACCCTCTCTGCAACACGCGTGGATTTCCCATCACGATCTCTCGCGAGAGCTCGCGGCCGGATCACTCGACGCGGAGCAACTTTCACTAAATGTCGCTGCTCGCGCGGGATTAGTTGAGACGGCTGGAAAGTTATTCGGCGCCGTAAATAAGTTCGTCGATGCGCGCTGATGTGGCCGGCGCTCGACGCGCCGCGCCGCGACGCGACGACGCGACGACGAGGTCTCCGGATATATGATAGCCGAGATTGAGGGGCTCATTCACGGGACACGGCGCTCTGAATAGGGCATTCGCTCGGCGACGAGACGAAAGCCGCAAGTTTTGATGAAATGCATTCTGTCCGCTGCAGTTGACGATGTAAGAAGGCAAGCGTGCGCGCAACGTAACGCTCTGCGGTTTGCCGTTAGGCGTGCGCGTGCACGAGAGACACAGGGAGAGAGAGAGAGAGAGAGAGAGAGAGAGAGAGAGAGAGAGAGAGAGAGGGGGAGAGAGAGAGAGGGAGAGAGAAAGAGAGACGGGGAGTCGAGACAGCGCGAAGGGGAGATTCATCCCTTCGTCGGATTTCTCTCTTCCTCTTTCCCTCTCTGTCTCTTTCCCTCTCTCTCTCTCTCTCTCTCTCTCTCTCTCTCTTTCTCTCTCTTGCTGACTTTACTTCGACTTCATCTCGAGTTGTCCCCGTTTCGCGCCATAATCAGAGTTCAGCCAACTTCGCCTTTCTTCGCCTCTGCTCGGCAGTCTCCACGGCCAGACGTATTACTCCGCCTTCTCGCCCTCGCTCTTTCGCCCTGAAGTTTCTTTCCGGCATGAATAGAATTTTACCGCTTCAAAAATCAAAGCTTTCAAACCATTCTGAAATTAGAATCAATTTGCCGGAAAGGGAGCGGCTGCGCGCGCGCCCGCGCGCCCAAATGCAGGTGTCGGCGCGCAATACGAGTTTATTTAAGCGACCGAATGATCGGAACGCTTCGATTCACTTTCGGATCATTTTCGACCGAATGGACCGCGCGCGCGCAATTGAATCGGCTCGCGAAGCGACACCCGTAATTCGCGCGTCCCTCAGCCCTCTCCTTCTTGTAAATTGGCTTCCAGCGGCCTCGCTTCAGTCTAATTACTCGGAAGTATCAATTGGAAAACGTGCAGCAACGTCGAGAAAAAAAAAATGAAGGAAATTAGACGATAAGAATCTTCACCGGCGAATTTACAAGGACTCGATCGCGATCCGCTTGAAAATGTATAAAAAAAACTGTGACAATTAGAGGGTTCGCGACGCAGCACGTCGGAAGGATTATGGGATTGCGGGATGTCTGAAAATGGAAAGAATGCGTGGAAATGTAAATTCCCTTGATATTAAATTGTTCCTCAAAGTTGCTTGAATTTCAAATTGTCGGATTGTCTACACGCCGGGCTTTTATTTTTCACTCAGAGGATCACTTGTAAATTTCGAGCCTGCGGAAAGTTCCTCAGAGAGAATCTGCATTTCAGTCTGTATGGATGCTAAGTTCCTTGAGGTGAAGATTTTTAAGACGTCGGGTTTTAAATCCGTCGGATTCAACGTATCTCGGAGGAGAATCCTTAAATTCCGAATTCCCTGGACATTGTAGGAACTTAAGTATACAGGATTTATTGCATCTTAAGACCTTTAAATCCTCAGTTCTTCGGACGAGATTCAGTCCGCCGTAGTTCCCGTGGATCCTCGCAGTTTTCTGTTATTAAATCTTTATATTCAACAATTTTTTGTACATATTTTGAATGACTCGCATTTCCGACGTTGACAAAGACGCAACTTTCGGATTCAGCCGTGAGCGCGTGTCCTGTCCTCCTTCGCATCGTTGCCTAATCTCGTCTCTTCAACTTCGGGAAAGGACCTCGAGATTCAACGATTCGTACAATTCCGGCGGCTTTTCCTTTCTCCGCGTAAAAACACCAGCTCGCCTTATCCACTGTGAAGCGAGACAACAGACGACGACGGACCGAAATTACTTTTCGCGCATCGATCGACCGCACGCACGCTGCAACCGCTACCGCTGTCTTGCAGCAGCGGGCGAAATGTTTATTAACGCGGTTATTAGTCATCCTATTAATTAGGGGACACCAGTTTATTACCGTCCGCATGGCGTACGCTCGGCGACACGATCGAGCGTCGCGCCATGTCGGCGTGTTATATTTCGGCGAAAATTGCGAGAGGGGAATCCCGCGGACGCGCGTGGAACCCGGCCAAATGCGAAGTGCACGCTATGACGCGCCGTATCTCGCTCGCGCTCGCTCGCGCTCGCTCGCGCTCGCTCGCGCGCGCGCGCGCGCGCGCGCACCACCGCGCGAGTGACAAATGCCTCGCTTTGCGCCGTAGTTTCGGTATCGTCGTTTAAGTAACATATCGCGGGGCAACTTCGCCCGCGCTGCCATCGATCGAGCGAGTTTTGGCAGGGACGGCTCGATAATCCGTTACCGGCCCGTTCGA